TGAAAGATTATCTGTGGAATATTACTGCCTCAGCATTTGCCTAAGTGATCCAAGGAAACCACAGAAAAACTTGGACCAAGGCAGACGGATCCGGAATCGAACCGGCGTCCTCCCGAATGCTAAGCAATGGTCTAGACCTCTAGGCCATGCCGCTCGGTTGATACTAAATATACTACAGAATGCCTTTATATACAACATTCACCGCTATGTCCATGCATTTTAAATCTGTAATATCTTCGAAAATATTCTTTTAAATTACATGCTGTACAGGGCCCATTGATCTACATTAAATGCACAATGTATTTAAAAGTACTTAATTGGATAAGGATTAATGCTGTATTGGTTAAAATCGCTTCGTAAATAAGCCACTACTTCTCGTAAAAAGTAAAGGATAAAAAATTGTTATTGTGGGTTATCCCTATGAGATAGACATATACCATCCCGGACTTTTTTGTAGACCCTTTTAAGATGTACAATATTGTAGTAATTATTTTGATCTATCTCGTAGGGTTCAGCCAGCGTTTGCAACGTAAGCGCAAAAAATGTGTTTATTTACGACATCACGTTAGAAACCTCTAAAATTATCAGTGTTTCCCTACTATATTATGCATGTATTATACATATAAACCTTCCTCTTGAATCATTCTATCTATTAAAAAAACCGCATCAAAATACGTTGCGTAGTTTTAAAGATTTAAGCATACATAGGGACAGACAGCGGGAAAGCGACTTTGTTTTATACTATGTAGTGATAGTGATTAGTTTAACTCTTTGGTAATGTAATAGAAATAATTAATTATTAATGACGGAAGTTATTTTTTATATTAACTTGCAATTTTGAATATTACATAAGCTCCTTTTGAGGGTTCCGTACGTTCGAATCAAACACGGAACCCTTACAGGATCACTCGTGTGTCTGTCTGTTCACCAGTCTAATTTTGAACAGGGGGATCATTTTTGAGAGGTCAATAGGAAATTTAAAAAAGTATTACAAACTGTACCGTGTGATATATCAAATGAAAGGACTTGTAACGGTCTCAAATTTAAAAATAAATAGCTTTGAAATTGTTTAAGAAAATAGACCATTCTCTCCCGCGTATCTCCGAAACTACTGAACCTACAATTTTGAAAAGGAAACAGAATCTTCACTTATAGATTACAGGAAAATTAATAAGAAGTGTATTGTCTGAATATAAGGTGGAAAATCTTTTAACATGTTTACTTGTGCTTAAAAATTTTCATTTGCAGTTTAAATGTATAGAAAAACTTTTTTTTCAACTGCAATGTTAAGTTGGTTCTCAGGTTAGGGTTATGTACGACTGAATGAAAAACGGAATCCTTACAGGATCACTCGTGTGTCTGTCTGTTTGTTTTTTTTTTATTCAGAACTCTTGAAAATTATCTTCTTTCGACAGAAAGCTATTTATTTACTCATATTTACGGACGCAAAAGCAAACTGTTCGTTTCAATAAAAATATACTCGTTGAAAATAAAAAAACACCCCCAGGAAGTACGATTTCTTTTAAAGAAGAGGAAGCAATTTTAGTGCTTTACAGTTACCAACTTTATACGAATTTATTTTGCCTTATTTCGATTATTTCCTTTGAAACGTTAGTAAAGTCTTTGGAAGGTAACCAAAATGAAAACGCCCATATCGAATTGACTTTGTCACATTAACAGAATGAAATGTGTCCCAGTTTCAATAAAAGGCGAAAATTTATTGATGCACCTACGACATAGGACAAATTTAGTATGAACGAGATTCGTTAAAATTTATACATCGTGAATGGCCTTCGACGTTCCATCAAAGCTAATTTTAAAATTTTGCTCAGAAAATATTTCTAATTGAAAAGTGAAAGGCATTTCATAGACTGAAAACTTAGGTATTAAAGAAAATTTTTTAAGCTAAATTCGTAAAGGTTAAAAGTCAACATCACCGAAGGCACTTTTTAAATTAATTTAATTGGTATTTGATACCGATAACCTTTCGAAAATTTTCAACCAAACATGAACAAGAACTAAAAGCGGTGAGATAAATAAAATTTCTTTCTTGGGAATTGGCTTATTTTGTTTGCTACGTTGCTTTTTCAATTAGAACGAATGAAGTGGATTTCAGATAATAATCTTGTTGACTTCCCCAAAAATCATTTTAGGAAGACGTTTTACCTGAACTCTCATGATTTCTAAGTAACCTGACAAGAGAGATAAGAATACCAAAGATTTTGGGGTGCAAATTAATGTCTCAGTCCAAGATATCTAAAGGTTACTTATTTTTTTAATCTTACCCATATAATCTAAATTCGGTTGAGCCATTTTTGAAAGTCTTGATGTCCACGGTTGACATGAAACCGGTTCTACACCATCGACATCATTTACCTTTTCTGAAAAAAAGAAAAGATAATAGAAATTCTATAAAATTATTTCAAGATGTCACAAATAGAAAAGTTTATATTGTAAACGTTTTTCTTTGTAACACAACCTTCGTAGTTTTAATATTTGGAAATTTCTACTCATATTTTACATTTAAATCTTATTTATATTTTATTAGTTATCGAAAGCAACAATTTGATGTTCTAAGTACGATTGAATTTGCTATTTACTCAGACATTTAACGGAGTATAAAGTTCAAAAAGAATGAAAGTAGAAGATGCTTCATTCGCATTAGAAAATCTATTAAATACAAGGTGGATTACATGCTCTATCTGATCTAATAATACAGATAAAGCGATGACTAGTGTGTCCTTTATCCTTTGCAAGGAAATCGTTGGAGTTAGAGTAAAAAGTACATAGATACAGCTGAACCATCAACAGCATTTATTTTATTATATCAAATATGCGAATTACAATCGGATCAGTTGACGTGGTCAAGTTCATAGTAAAATAAACTTACAAAGAATTGGAAAAAAAACAGGATGAATGATTGAACAACTATTTAAAGATGTCTTTTAGTTAATTAAGATTTTCTTTTATAGACTTGCCGATCAATTCACTGTTTTCTTTGAAAGAACAGCAGTAATAATAAGATTACAAATGTCGAAACAGTAGGAAACGCAATCAAAGTTTTTCATACAAGTTAAACTAATTATAAAATACCCTTTTATAACGGATCTCATTGAAAGGTGTGGGGTAAAACGAGATAAGGCATTAAAAACTTTGTTAAAACAGTTATTTCTTTATCGCGATTTGAAATAAAAGTTTAAATTGAGTTTCAAATGTCTTCCACCTCTATAAAACATTAAAAGGTGTTTTAATTTCATCAGCATTAAAGCTATTTGAGTCGAAATGTTCTGGGCGTCGTCGATCTTTAAAACAGAAAAAGGGCGACAATTTCTTATGCTCCCCGAACAACTTACGTAAAGTTATGCTTAATTAAATCCAACATACAGAGAGAAATACCATAGAAAATTTAATTTGCAGCATCAGGCAAAAATACTCTAACACGTATCCAAATTATCCGTTATGGGACCTACAAATGGCTATTTTCTTTTCCGATATTAAACCTGCAGATTTAACAATTCCTTTAAATGTATAAAAAAGTTTAGGTGTTTGTGTCATTCTTAAACCTTTGCATTTCAATAAGCTGTAAGTTGTAACAACTTTTTCACTAGCGGCTACAAGTCGCGAGATGTCTCTCAAAGTCCTTACAAATTCTGATCATCGTTCGGAATTAGAAAGTTTGAACGTAAAAGTTCCCCGGAGACTCCGTATTCATCTTACCTTAATTAAATTTGAAACGGGTACCTGTTGGATAGAATTTATTAGAAAGTGTCCTTGACTTTAATACGACAGCGCCGTCATTAATACTTCAACCACACCTCGACTTCCAAATTTAGAAAATCGTTTAATGTTCAAATAAATTTGGTGTAGGTATGTAGGTACATCTACAAAAATATATGATACAGGATTTAACTTCATTTTGAACAAAAGGAAGATAATAAGATGTGCTGCGAAGTAGTCTGAAATAGGGAATTAGGTCGAGATACTGGTGAGCATTGCCGAGTCGCTGGCGAATATCATTATCATGTCACAGACGAGAACATTCGAAACTGCTGCCCATTGTTCGTAATAAGCAATAAGGTCGATATACGGGCGAGCAGTGCGAAATTGGCATGTTACAGGCGAGTACGTATCTGTTGCTAATTGCTCATAATAAAGAATGAGGTCGATATGCTGGCAAGCATAGTCGAGCCAACGGCGAGTAACATTGGCATGTCACAGGCGAGTACGTCCGAACCTGTTGCTAATTGTTCGTAATAAAGAATCAGGTCGATATGTTGACAAACATAGTCGTGTCGATGGCGAGTGGCATTGGCATGTCACAGGCGAGCACGTCCGAATTTGTTGCTAATTGCTCATAATAATGAATTAGGTCGATATGCTGACAAGCATAGTCGAGTCGACGGCGAGTGGCATTGGCATGTCACAGGCGAGCACGTCCGAATCTGTTGCTAATTGCTCATAATAATGAATCAGGTCGATATGCTGACAAGCATAGTCGAGTCGACGGCGAGTGGCATTGGCATGTCACAGGCGAACACGTTTGAATCTACTGCTAATTGCTCGTAATAAAGAAAGGGTTTCAGTCGGTGACGAGTAGCATTGTCATGATAGAGGCGAGTACATCTGAATCTGTTACCTATCTGTTCGGATGATAACCAAAACGAATGGCGGAAAATTTTGCATAGAAGTAATTACTTGGAACGAAAATAGTTTTAAAAGAAAATTAAGTCAAATTAATCTAGAATTTATTAATGTGTTTGTCGGTTATTTTTGTAAACTTCTGGCACTATTCGTAGGTATCTCCCTCGTTATATAACGGTTAAAGTAATAAATTCCGAAACTTTCCAGAAACGTAACTTGAATGAGGCTGTTGCAGTTGGCTTAATGTTCAATATAAAATGATTTACGAGAGGAAGTGATTGCAATTTTATGAAAATTTTTCCACTCGAAAATGCACAAAGCTGTACCTATACTTTATTTAGAAGCACAACCTGCCGTGAAATAAAAGCTAAATTTTCGCCACAAGAAGAACGAGCTTACCAATTTTCTTTACAACGAACTGCATTTATTACTTACTACGTATAATATTTCAATGTTGTTAAAATGACTCTTGAAAATTAGCAAAAAAAAAGAATTAATATCAGAACTAACTGTAGAAGTTTCAATGTTCAAAAAATTACATTTGCAGAGTTTGTGAACAATAAATTATTGGAACTATTACAATTATTATTGATATTAGCGAACCATTTGTTAAATATGTTTTGACCTCATTAAAAGCTAACTTCAGACAATTTTGTTCAGTTCAAAAACAATTAGCAACTGATTCGGACGTACTCACCTATGACATGCCGATGCTACTCGCCGTTAGTTCGACTATTTCGAAGAATTAATAGCAGATTCAGGCGTACTCGTCTATGACATGCCAAAGATACTCGTTTTTGGGCTGATTTTTTATTACGAACAATTAGCAGCTGATTCAGTCGTACTCGCCTGTGACATACCAACTCGGCAGTGCTTCCTGGAATCTCGACCTAATTCCTTACTACAAACAATTAGTAGTAGATTCGGACGTACTTGTCTTTGACATGCTAATGATATTCGACATAAACCCGGCAGTGCTCACCGGTATCTTGAGCTGATTCCTTGTTTCGGATAACATAGGAGCACATTTTATTATCTTCCTTTTGTTAAAAATTAAATCAAATTCGAACATGAAACGCTTCTAAATTTTGAAGTCGAGAAAGGATAGATAAACAGAATAAAACATTTGAATCAAATTCAAATATAAACGCAAGAAAAAAGGAGAAAAAGCCTTAAGTTTTTTGTGTTCTAAGATTTAAGTTTATCGACTTGCTGTTGCTGTTTCACCCACTGCCACGATTTATGGGAACGAGTTCGGCTCCAAAACCAATTTTGTTTTCACTTTTCCAAGATCGCAGCACTTACGTCTTGATTCAATTTTTTTTTGCTTTCCGTTTGACGAAAAGAAGCGAACGAGAACTCTGTGCTATACTCGCAGAAATGGGGAAAACTGCGATACAGCGCAAATTCCAACTAAATTAATCGGGTCGCAGCGTACCTACCTGTAAATTCCAGACCTGCCAGTTTCCACGTTCCCTTTTTGGTTACCAGTATGCTGGCGGGACATACGTTCCTGTGCAACACGTGTCCAGAGTAATGAAGGAATGACAACGCCTCTGTTATCTGAAACAATAGAAGCATTTAGAGATGCATTAGTTGGGTGTTTAGAGGGATTAATCAATATATTTGCATTTATGGTTATATCAATATATAACAGAAACACAATTGTTTGTGGTATGGCGAAGTGGCTCCTGCAACCCTTAGTGTCCATAGAAACTGTTACAAGTTAATTATTATTAAAAAAAAAAAAAATCGGTTGTCTGTAAAGTCGGTTTACTGACGATAGTTGAACGTGACAACGTCATAAGAAAATACTGATGGAATGGTTTCATTTTTCAAAAGAAAATTTTAATTTTATTTGTTTGATAGATATTTTGTATGGATATAGAGAAGGAGGTAAATGGAAATGTATTATTGTATAGCAGCTGTCCACGCGGACGCATCGCTCACTCAAGTAGGAGAGAGACAGATGTCGAACGCTG